AAATCTTTTTTTCTCCTGGAGTCACAACTAAGGGGGACCCCCGGTTCCGTTATTAATCCCTTCCGGGAGTAACGTTTTAAAACAAAAAAAACGGGAAAATTTTATCCCCTTTCCCCCAAAAAAAAATAATTTGGGAAAACAAATTAATACATGCAAGACACCCCAAAAATATGAAAAAAAAAAAAAAAAATTTTTCCCCCATGAAATTTTTAAGTTTAATGCCCAAAAGAAATTTAATTTTCAAAACAATGAAATTTTTTACAATAGAATAATTGGACACTTTCCTTTTAATATCGACGTCCCATTATATGTTTTAGAGGGGGAAACCCTTTTTGACGTATATTCTCATAAATTCTAGCGGCCCTTTAAAAACAAGAAAGGGGAAAAATGGTAGGCCCACATGTGAGGAATGGGTTTTTGTGTGGTCAGTGTGACCAATAAAAAAAAATTTCCCGGAGCACCGCAGTGCATAATGAGAAAAAAAAAAAATGACCGTCTTTTTTAATTTAAAAAGTGGCCCTTTTTGGTCTATTTTCATGTAGTTTTTTATGGTTGTTTTTGTTTTCTTGGTTCATTTTTTAGAATGGAAAACCTATTATAGAAAAAAAGGGGGGATTTTGGGGTGAATTTTACTATAAAAAAAAAACCTGGAAATAGAGCTCAAAGTGGGGAAAAGTTTGTTTTTGCCGATGGTTTAAAAGTAAACAAAAAGGGTTTTTATCCCAAAAATGTCCCAAAAAAAGCCATTTTAATATGCAGTGTGAATGGGTTGTGTTATTTATACAATTATTTCGTATTGCGTGTCTGCATAACAGTAAATCTTCTATTTTTTGTTTGAATAAAAATTCAAAATAGAAAGCAAGAGTAATATCAGAGGGGCTTGGAGACATGACTGATGAACAAAGAAAATGTTATTTTAGAGCCAGGAATGTCTGCACTGTTCATTCTGGACCGTATTTTGAAATTGTCATATTTTTTAATTTTTGGGAAATTGGCCAAATTGCAAATTTCTGACCACGTTATTGGGTAGTTGAAATTGGTAAATGGGCAGTTTCTTGTACTCAATCGATAGAAAAAATGGAGTTCTAAAGAAATAGCTATGAGTTTGGTCGACTGGAACAATGGAATTAGCCGAAAATACGGGTCAAAGATAGCGAAATCGCCGATTTGTAAATATCGCCAAGGTTGCTAAATTCGCGAGAGCGTAATTCCGTCAGTTTTCCATCAAATTTTGTTTTTGGTGTCATTACAATTGGGAAAATTCATAAGAAAAAATAATTTTTTTTTTTAAATTTTGCGACACCAGGAGACACTTTAGGATTTGGGGTTGCGACAGTCAAGGGGTTAATGAAGATCTGGTGATGATTGATGGGATGGGAGGGGAAGGTGTTGAAGTTTTTAGTGTTTAGAAGGGGAATCCCCCTCCATTTGAACTTGAGGTAGCAAGTCCTTTTCCGGGGTTACTTCCCTTCTTCTTTTAATGCCACTAGGACCAGCTTGAGAGTCACTGGACTTCTGTCACACAACATATCTGTCCATAGAGGCCTGTACCTCTCGTTCCTTTATGACTTTCCTAAAGTGGTTCACAACATTGTCAGTGTAATAGTCACCAGCATGGCTTGCAATAGCTGTGTTAGGGTGATTTTCATCCATAAAGGTTTGCAGTTCAACTCACTGTGCACACATTTCCTTAATTTTTGAAGTAGGCACAATGGATTCCACAACTGGCATAGGCTTCTCAGGGTTAGCCCCAAACCCTTCAAAATCTTTCTTAATTTCCATACTAATTCTCACCCTTTTTACCACAGGGTTGGCACTAGAAGCTTTCTTGGGGCCCATGGTGACTTATTTTGCAGAAACAAGCACCAAAAACAGTGATAATATGGATATAATATGGAATGTACGAATGTATCCTTAGATGCACGCACACTGGCTGGCTTGTAAACATTGGCACACACGGGGCAGTTCAGGTCACACGTGGACACGTCTCGTACGAATCGTATCGCATACCGGGTTTTGTAACGGGAACCGAGGCCAATTTTTTGCGATATAATGCTTCGGATACCGATGACTTCGCGAACCGGGGGTCAACTGTATCTGCAATTTCTATGAATTCTACCCTTGATTTAAACCTTTTAGTAACCGTCACATAGAACTATGTCACTGAGGCCAGGGACCCTTTAGTTCTATGCCAAAAGCTCATCTCACTTGGGTAAATTACGAGAGGTAAATTCAGGTCTAGACATGAAAGAATGGGCCTGTGCAGCGAGGCTGCACAACATATATATATATAAAAAAAAAACCTGCTCCACATAGTGAATGATGGGAAAAGCAAAACTGACTGTTTGGTTTAACCCTTAAACGGTCCAAACGTATATATATGTTCTCTCGTGCAGCACCCTGAATATTTTGAGAAAAAAAAAATTATAGGAAAAAAGAGCATGTGGTACCCAGGCGTCCTCAATTTTTTCATATGGCACACACTGAGTGCGCACACCCATTCTCTTATGTCTAGGCGACTCAGGCGTATCATGCCAATGTTGAATGAATGACAAATGAAAACTATATATACGTTTGGGGCGCTACGCGAGAGAACGTATATAGTATACGTTTGAACCATTTAAGGGTTAAAACAGCAACTTTGAAGGGCTTTTTTTCTAGGATGGTTTTCATGGTTTTATTGGCTGTTTCTTGGTATCATTTAATATAATGGAAGACATACTACTGAAACAAAGATGACTGAGCTCACAGTAGTGAAAAAATTAAATTTTTGCCTATCTTCCCAACTAAAGTACGGTATCCCCGACACCTCTGGTCTGTTTTATTACCTAAGAAATAGAGTAAATCTATTTTTGTGTGATTATGAGTTCAAAATAGAAGAAGCCTGGGGACATAATTAATGAACAAAAGAAATGTTTTTAGTGCCAGGAATGCCTACATTACTTTAGGTTGACAGTAATTCACAGAAACATTTCGAAGTCCAATGTGACAAGTATACAAGCATATCAGCAAGATACCTGGGTTCATTAAATTATACTAGCTTTAAATGTTAATACAGTTTATATTCAACTATTACCTTGAAAGGGAGCCAATGCAGCTCATACAAATATGGATGAAAATATATTAACAACAATGTTAAATTACTTCTAAGAAATAGTTAAAAAAATTTTTTTATTAGACTATCTTTTTGTGCACCGGTAAAATAAATTGATCAGCCATCAAATAAATTGCAGTACAATTATATTTAACAACTTATTGGCTTAGTTTTATTGGTAGCATAACTGGCAGTCTTAGGCAATCAGTTGAATCCTTTTATCTGGACTGGGAGGATAGGTATAACATCTTAGGTAACAAGCTCTTCATCATTAAGGCATCTCAAAGAAGGGACAGTTAATTAAGATTAAAAGACAGAATAATTTTCATCTTAGAATTAAGGTGAATGCCAGTCCAAACCAAACCAGTTTCCAATATCCTCATTTAATAGTGTAGGTTTTATTGCCATGTGCCAACATTCAAATTACAATAGTTTTTATCTAGGTAATATCAATTAACTACTAGAACAAGCAAGTCATGCAACACTGTATGGTACAGCAACAAAGTTTCATCATCAACCTCTTACCACCACGTGACTACTGCCATAACCCAATAAGGTCAACAGTTTCTTAAATATGCTAATAAAATTTTCCCAACAGCATTCAAGTTAAAACACAAGAAAAGCCAGGTGTAAAAAGTAAATGTTATGCATTTATTTTACAATTAAATGCCACAATACCACAAGCCTGGTATTATCCAAGACTCCAGCAAACATTACACTAATTAAATACAGAACCTGCTAATACTAAATACACAAAAATGTACCCAGACATAAATGCACTACTGTTTATCAAGAAAAGACTAACTATATCCTGGTTACATTAATTGCCAAATGTACAATTCTCATGGGCAACTATAATGCATCAGTGTGAAATGATATAAAAAGGAGCAACAGAGGTTTCTTCTCACTTTCTAACAAACCAGACTACGAGTAATCATAAACAAAGTAAAAATCAGACCTCCCATAGAAAAAAACTAAGGCATGGTACAGATTCAAATTTTCTCCCACGGGAAAAAAGCTCTTGTTTAAGGTACCAAACAGATGTAAATCTTAAAGAGTTGCTGTATCCTTCACAGTAGAAAACAAGATCTTGTGAGAACAAATTTAATCTACATTGGAATATAAAAACTAGAGGTGGTCAAAACACAAACTACTCTACAGAGCAGAAAAGGAATATAAGGGACCCAAGGATCCCCACATAACTTGAGACTCTCTGATAGCGGGTTCTATCCCCGCCTGTGGTATGGTTTGTTTGCAATCGTGTCATTATGATTTCATGAGTCATGCCAAGCTCAAAGTACTGAAAGGCACTAGTACTGTCTTAATTTGAACGTTGTTTTTCACTAATTGCAGATCTGAATACGTATGTGAAGATGACTTTCGTTGACTGCATCAATTCAAGTACAGATATCTAACTACTGGTCAAAATACTACGATCTTAAAATCAGAGTAGGGATGGAAGACAGCAAGAAAATTACCCACAACGAAATGCAAACCTGCAATAAGCATATAGAGATAACCTAACAAGGACAAATATTTTCAACACTATTCCCACCCCTTTTCAAAATGTAAATGAAATTACTAATAGACTAGTCTCCAAAGAAAAATTTGAAATTTTCCTAACCAGCCAGACTGTGGTGAGCACACTGGATTATGTGCAGCAAGCATCAATTGCATAAGTGGCAAAACTGTTAATTAGAAAGCCTGGTCAGAGACTGGGCCATTTAACCAGGAGGCCTGACCATAGACTGGGTCACAGCCTTTAACCGGGAGGCCTGACCAGAGACTAGGTTATAAGTGATCATAAATCCAGAAACCAAGTCCATGTACTAGCCTAATAAAAAATATTTTAAATTAATAAAAAAAAAATTATGATAAAACCATGAAAATAATAATTAAAACTTACATGATGTGAATTGCTTGACTGTCTGGTATTATAAGAATGCATGGGAGGAGTAGCAACATTAACCAAAGAGCTCAATGTTGACTGGTTAATCTGTGCTGCTGAATAGCCCAACTGACGTAGAGTGGCATCTAAGCTGCTACTTGCCCTGAAACAAACCAAGTGACAAACCATTTATTTATTTAGCCAACAAAATGATATAGGTATGCATACACATAACAGCATCTTATGCAAGTACAGTACTTGAATACTTGTATTTGGTATTCCTGAAGATTGGGTGCTAAACGGCCAAATCAGAAATAATCTGTGCCTGAGATGCCTTTTCCAGCTATTTTAGTGAGCACATGTAGAAGAGAGGGAGACTACTTCCCGGTAAAAGTAGGTCTTAGACAGGGATGTGTAATGTCACCATGGTTGTTTAATATATTTATAGATGGGGTTGTAAAGGAAGTAAATGCTAGGGTGTTTGGGAGAGGGGTGGGATTAAATTATGGGGAATCAAATTCAAAATGGGAATTGACACAGTTACTTTTTGCTGATGATACTGTGCTTATGGGAGATTCTAAAGAAAAATTGCAAAGGTTAGTGGATGAGTTTTGGGAATGTGTGTAAAGGTAGAAAGTTGAAAGTGAACATAGAAAAGAGTAAGGTGATGAGGGTGTCAAATGATTTAGATAAAGAAAAATTGGATATCAAATTGGGGAGGAGGAGTATGGAAGAAGTGAATGTTTTAGATACTTGGGAGTTGACGTGTCGGCGGATGGATTTATGAAGGATGAGGTTAATCATAGAATTGATGAGGGAAAAAGGTGAGTGGTGCGTTGAGGTATATGTGGAGTCAAAAAACGTTATCTATGGAGGCAAAGAAGGGAATGTATGAAAGTATAGTAGTACCAACACTCTTATATGGGTGTGAAGCTTGGGTGGTAAATGCAGCAGCGAGGAGACGGTTGGAGGCAGTGGAGATGTCCTGTTTAAGGGCAATGTGTGGTGTAAATATTATGCAGAAAATTCGGAGTGTGGAAATTAGGAGAAGGTGTGGAGTTAATAAAAGTATTAGTCAGAGGGCAGAAGAGGGGTTGTTGAGGTGGTTTGGTCATTTAGAGAGAATGGATCAAAGTAGAATGACATGGAAAGCATATAAATCTATAGGGGAAGGAAGGCGGGGTAGGGGTCGTCCTCGAAAGGGTTGGAGAGAGGGGGTAAAGGAGGTTTTGTGGGTAAGGGGCTTGGACTTCCAGCAAGCGTGCGTGAGCGTGTTAGATAGGAGTGAATGGAGACGAATGGTACTTGGGACCTGACGATCTGTTGGAGTGTGAGCAGGGTAATATTTAGTGAAGGGATTCAGGGAAACCGGTTATTTTCATATAGTCGGACTTGAGTCCTGGAAATGGGAAGTACAATGCCTGCACTTTAAAGGAGGGGTTTGGGATATTGGCAGTTTGGAGGGATATGTTGTGTATCTTTATATGTGTACGCTTCTAGACTGTTGTATTCTGAGCACCTCTGCAAAAACAGTGATAATGTGCGAGTGTGGTGAAAGTGTTGAATGATGATGAAAGTATTTTCTTTTTGGGGATTTTCTTTCTTTTTTGGGTCACCCTGCCTCGGTGGGAGACGGCCGACTTGTTGGGAAAAAAAAAAAAAAAAAGTATATCTCTTTTTTTTTTTTTTTAACATGTCGGCCATTTCACACCAAGGCAGGGTGACCCAAAAAGAAAGAGAAAAATATCATCATTCAACACTTTTACCATCACTCACACATAGGCACTCAGATACAACAACTTAGACGTCCCTCCAAAGTGCCAATATCCCAAACCTCTCCTTTAAAGTATACCTTGTGCTGCTAAAATAGCTGAAAAAAAAAATTATGTACAAAACAGTTACATGTATTCAGCCTGCAAAGGACAAATTAGTAATGATTCCCTCTTGAATCTCATTAGCTTGAGGTCTGGAGCCTTGTGTTTCAACCACAGTCATTCCAGGACAAAATTACCAGTGAATAATACTTCCATCTCTGATAGTGCTGAGAATTTATTTTACTGACAGGTTATCTAGAGCCAATTTTGGGGGTGCCTTCCCCCCAAATGCCAGGTCTCTGGCAGGCCAAGTTTATGGACTGATCAATTAGGCTGTTTGTGCTAGCCACACACAGTCCAGCCTAAGCAGCACAGTTCAGCTAATCAGAAACTAATATGACCAACTTGTCAAGCTCCCTCTTGAAAACAGCTTGAGATCTACTGGTAATATCCTTTACATATGAAGCAAGTACACTGATAAGCCTTGGGTCCTCCGAGTTCTTTCTTTCACATTAATTACACCCCATCATGACTTACGAAATCATAATAAAATGATTGCCAATAAAACACAGAATGGGTGAGGCCTGCAAGTTTTAGAACTTGCTTGCCATGGGCTCAATCCCCACCCATTCTGTGATTTAATTACACCCAGTCTGTCATTGGGATTATTTTGAACCAACTGCCATGCTGCTTGCTCTCACTGGGAGTTATTTCGATGTGCAGATTTGGTACTGGTCCTTTAAGAAATGTTTCTGGTGTAATTTATAGTGTTCTTTTCTCTGCTATGTTCCAAGGGGTGCAGTCAATGGACTTCAGACATTCCCAATAACTTATATGCTTCACTGAATTTACATGGGCAGTAAGGGTTCTCAGTACATACTCCAAATCAGAGATTTCACTTATTGAAAGGGGAAGGGGATTACTTATTTACCTTACCAATGCAGTATCTGCTTTTCATGGTCAGTTTGGGACTTATGGCCATAGCTCAGCAGTTAAGGGATAGGATCCAATAAAATTATACAAGTCAGCCATCACTAATCTGGCATCATTGGGACCTGTAGTGTGCCAGATTAGTAAGTTTGCCAGATTACAGAGTGGTTAGGTTAGACTACACTTAATAAAGTTAACCAAGCTGAGCTGTTTCATATATTTTGGTCTTTCTTTGATTAGTTTATCCTATAGCATGTAAACATTCATTATTTCTTGTCCACTTGACCTTTTAGCAGTTCACCTGTCAACTGAATTAACCTATCAGCAGAGACTGAGACTCTCTCTGCTACATCTTTCTCATTTTCATCACTGCTTTCTCCTCCACTGGCTTGCTACTGTGGATTTACAACCATCTGCACAATTTCTGAGTCAGTATAATGATGAAATTTGAAATTATGCTAGCAGAAATTAGTGCCAGATTACTGATGGAACTGGATAACTGATTGCTGGATTAGTGATGTTTGACCTGTATAGCATATACTCTGAGCTAGTGTTTTCTGATAACTACACACATGCTGTCCTCAGTAGCTAAATGAAGCATTTTGTTTTCAAATGACCTCAGAAAGTCAGTATGACCACTCATACTTGTGCAAAAACAAAACTGTATCCACATTACTGCTCTATTAATACATGTCAAGAAAAGTCTGTGTCTATTATAATTTTGTGCAACTATGATTAGTTAGCATAAGTGCTGGTATTATCATTACTTCGCTTTTATCATCAAATTATGACCTACGTCTTTGCTGTTATTGTGTCCAATTTCAATAAAAAAAAAAAGTCAATGTTCCCCCCTGTGCAGAGCATACGAGTTAAAGAATCTACCGTAGAACAAAGCTATTCACACTTTAAAATAATTTTGGAATTTATCCAAAGTGCAAAATATCCTTTTAGCCCTAAACTTGCGCAACGTAGATCTACGTTCATGTGCGTAGCGCTCCGAATGCAGATCTCTCATTGTTTTTTTTTTTTTACATTTCAAAGCACGTAAAATAAAATGTAGATTCACGTTCGGAGCGCTACTCACATGAATGTAGATCTACGTTTGGACAGTTTAAGGTTAACTATAGATATGTCTTGCTGACAAGAGAGGTTTCAAAAAATGCCCAGTGCTTTGAAAAGCCAGTAGAGAAAAGTGTGTAAACATTTGGACAGCAAAATTTACCAATTTATTAAAACTACTACTGCAGTCACCAAATTATTTAATGAAGTGGATGGGCACAATGCATTTATTTAAATTTCAGAAAAACTTCTGATAAGGTTGTATATATATATATATATATATTATATATATATATTTTTTAAATTATATTTATATATATATATTATATATATATATATTATTAATATATAAAACTAATCTGGAAGCCACAAAACATGGGTGGAATAAAAGGCAAAATATTAGTGTACAAGAGATTGTTTGAAAGTAAAATGTGAAGAGAAGAAATAAATCTCCTTTTGGAGAAATGTCACCTGTGGGATGTACCACAAGGCTTGGTGCTTTCCTTATGTTTCTAATTTATATGGATGACATGCTACCAGAAGAAATATTAAACTCTATGACTACGTTTGTAAATGATGCAAAGCTTCTAGGAAAAATAAGTACATATTAGGTAAATGATTTCAAGAAGACTCATAATTAAAAAAAATAAAAAACTGTGGTACATGGATAATGGAACAATGAGGATTAGTGATGTCAAGGAAATGGGAGTAAGCAGTAACAATCCTCAACACAGGCAGATTATACATGTTTTTATGAGAATTTTTATGAGGATAGTGAGGCTCAGGTTAGGGTGTGTAGAAGAGAGGGAGAATACTTCCCAGTAAAAGTAGGTCTTAGACAGGGATGTGTAATGTCACCATGGTTGTTTAATATATTTATAGATGGGGTTGTAAAAGAAGTAAATGCTAGGTGTTCAGGAGAGGGGTGGGATTAAATTATGGGGAATTAAATACAAATTGGGAATTGACACAGTTGCTTTTTGCTGATGATACTGTGCTTATGGGAGATTCTAAAGAAAAACTGCAAAGGTTAGTGGATGAGTTTGGGAGTGTATGTAAAGGTAGAAAGTTGAAAGTGAACATAGAAAAGAGTAAGGTGATAAGGGTATCAAATGATTTAGATAAAGAAAAATTGGATATCAAATTGGGGAGGAGGAGTATGGAAGAAGTGAATGTTTTCAGATACTTGGGAGTTGACGTGTCGGCGGATGGATTTATGAAGGATGAGGTTAATCATAGAATTGAAGAGGGAAAAAAGGTGAGTGGTGCATTGAGGTATATGTGGAGACAAAAAACATTATCAATGGAGGCAAAGAAGGGAATGTATGAAAGTATAGTGGTACCAACACTCTTATATGGGTGTGAAGCTTGGGTTGTGAATGCAGCAGCGACGAGGCGGTTGGTGGAAGTGGAGATGTCCTATCTAAGAGCAATGTGTGGTGTAAATATTATTCAGAAAATTTGGAGTGTGGAAATTAGGAAAAGGTTTGGAGTTAATAAAAGCATTAGTGGGCTGAAGAGGGGTTGTTGAGGTGGTTTGGTCATTTAGAGAGGGTGGATCAAAGTAGAATGACATGGAGAGTGTATAAATCTGTAGGGGTAGGAAAGCGGGGTAGGGGTCATCCTCGAAAAGGTTGGAAGGAAGGAAGGGGTACGGGAGGTTTTGTGGGAGAGGGGCTTGGACTTCCAGCAGGCGTGCATGAGCGTGTTCGATAGGAGTGAATGGAGACGAACGGTATTTGGGACCTGACGATCTGTTGGAGTGTGAGCAGGGTAATATTTAGTGAAGGGATTCAGGGAAACCGGTTATTTTTATATAGTCGGACTTGAGTCCTGGAAATGGAAAGTACAATGCCTGCACTTTAAAGGAGGGCTTTGGGATATTGGCAGTTTGGAGGGAAATGTTGTGTATCTTTATATGTATATGCTTCTAAACTGTTGT